GCTGGCTAACATTTGTTGTCCATAATACATTGGCAGAAGGCCTTTTTCATGTTTAGGCAAAACAATTGGCACTAACAGAGCAAGGACAGGTGATCGGTTGGTTTCCATGGTTCCTGTTTGCAGTGCTGAATATAATCGAAAGCAAGGCATAGACAAGCGACAGAAGCAGAGACAGCATATTCTCAAACGTTTAAGTTGTGTGACTAGTATTACTCGTTAAAATTAAAACTTGGTGATTCAAGGCATGTTAGGATACTTAAGGCAACCATTCCAAATAGTTAATTTATATCATAAAGCTACATGTATTGATAGAGCTGGAAACTACTATACTGTAGTTCGAGTCATTAAAAAGAAAATCATATTGCTCAGAAATAAGCTCTCTAGGTGTTTTCATTATAAAGCTGAAAATATTGGCCAAATCATTTTAAGCATTTGCCAAGGAGATACAGAGAAAGAGAACTGGAGAGGAAACAAGCTTACTGGCAGAACAACAAATCTTTCTATATAACACCATAGGGTCAAACTTTAAAAACCTAATCAGAATTTCCTTCTGTAAGCTGTCTTTTGCCCGCAAGGGGATGCAGCTCGGAGGAGGTGATATTGATAAGTTGGGTTAGAAAAAAACCCTCAACGAAAACAGTCACACCAGTGCTATGTGTAGTTTGTGAAAGTCATTTACCGCCTATCAATTGTGTTTTTAAAGCTGCATACCATATGTGAATAAAGTGGTGAGCTCAAAAATGCAAGGCCCTCTCTCGCACCCAAAAGGTCACCCATAAATGAGCATTTCCCCCCCTAAATAATGAAGTGATCATCTGCCCATACTCAAATTGGTATCAAGCATTGCAGGAATACCCAGCAATACGTACCTGGTGTGTTTCTGGCAGCACCAAGAACACCCTAGCATGCTACTGAGACCAACAGGATGTTGATGAGAGCCAGTGTGGTGTAGTGGTTAAGAGCAGTAGACTCGTAATCTGGGGAACCGGGTTCGCATCTCTGCTCCTCCACATGCTGGGTGACCTTGGGCTAGTCATACTTCTTTGAAGTCTCTCAGCCCCACTCACCACACAGAGTGTTTGTTGTGGGGGAGGAAGGGAAAGGAGAATGTTAGCCGCTTTGAGACTCCTTCAGGTAGTGATAAAGCGGGATATCAAATCCAAACTCTTCTTCTTCTTCTTGTCTGCATGAAGAGCAGTTACCTTAGATGCTCTTTGCCTTTAAAGTTAACAAGCCTATTATATACCCCATACTCATGTTTAAAGGTATGAATTTAAGAGACTGAAATGTGCTTCATACCTTATACTAGTGATGGGAGTTGGATATTGGGGGACCACAGATTCCCTATCAGCTCCAGCTAAAATAGCCAATAGTGAGTGATAATGGGATCTGTGTTCCAGCAACATCTGGAGGGCCACAGGTTCCCCATCCCTGCCTTACATTTTTCCTAAGCTTCTCATCTAGGAAGGTGTGCAAAACTTATATGCAGATCAAGCCTGCTCAACTTGTGATTCACACACAACCCCTTTGAGGTCACATTGCACATGAAGGGAGCACTTTGCAAGAATGGACTGGCCTTATGATACACATGGAAATTTGAGCACGTTGCTAACGCTTCTCTGCCTACATCTCTGGCAAGTCCTCTTGGGTCTCCGGTTCAAAATATCCAGCACCAAATCCCACTCCTTGGTAACAGGTCAGGTGCCTAGTCAGCTCCCCACTCAGGTAAGCAATGGGAAAAAAATACTTGCTGCAAAGCATAGCTTCTGCAGCTGTCTCCCATCTCTCCCTGCCTTTGCCATATGTGAGCAATGTGTCTTTTCTAGGCTGTATTGCTCTCTAGCACCTTTCACACCCAGCACTGTGTAGCAGAATCCCCAATTTCCACATGCAGTCAAACTTCTGTTGGCAAGGCCCAGTACTCCACTCCCAGCCACCGCCATTCCTGGCCAAACACTTTTGCCTTGCAGAATTGCAGCTTGGATGCACGGAGCAGAACAAGCTGTCGCAACACACCGAGAGTGACAATAGCATTCAGTGCCAACCAGCTATTATGCCAGATTAAACATTTTGAAAGCCTGTTCATTTTTCCTTTGCAGAACTAAAGAAAAAAGAAAAAAGTATAGAGATCCCCAGCCCACTAATTGCCAACATTCAGTGGTCCACTCACCTGTATCTTTCTGTAGCACACAAAACAAGCAGATTTATTAGGGCGAAGGGGACCAGAGGCCACTCTGATAAAGTGGGCCCTGATCCACGGAAGCATGTTTTACTCGCAGCACAATGCTATGTGTATCTTGTCATTTCCTGTAAATTCAAAGTGTCTTAATTCAAAGATTCTAGATATAGGACTGTTGTCTAGGGCTGCAATCCTATGTACCCGTTTTCTTGGGAGTAGCCCAATTTCACTGCTTATCCTCTTAGCCCTGAAAATGCCCCACAACTCAGCTGCTGTACAAAGAAAGTGGCGGTTAATTTTTCTAGGTATTTTTTAGTTCCTTATTCAATTTACTAGTTCAGATGACCTTTGTGCCAATTTAATCTGGAGTAGGATTCACCAAAGGTTTGCAGCTTCTATGACATAACTTCTTCCTCTTTTCTCCTGAGCCTGTATCTTAGATTGCAAAGCTGAGAGCTGGGCCCCATGGTAGTTAACTGCTTTTGTGCAGCACCTAATATATTTTACCCAAACATACGGCAACATAACATGTGCCCAGACAGAGAGCAGACATGTGCCAGTGCCATGGCACCACATCTGCTTGCTATTCCATGGGGTATTTCCTCCAAAGCCACTTTCAGCACATACCCCTGAGTTCCACTGCAAATGTAAGTTGAATTAAGGAAGCTACTGCAGCATTTATTTTTCATGCAAATATAAATCACACACTGTCTTTGGTGTAATGTAAACAAGCTGCAATAAAGCTACAATTAAATCTCTCCCGTGTAATAATATACAGTGGTGTGTTTATAGTTTTCTTAACTACAGCAACAATCCTCATATTTTATAGGTCTAAAATAGATAGGCTTAGCTGCTAAGGTTGATAGTTATCATTTTAATTCCTTTAATAGCAACCCTATATTAAGATGAAATTCTTGAATCCGCACACTGATGAGTTCTCCCCAGATGTTTCCGAGTATAGAGAATCCTGCACCTGCTCTGCTGTTGCAATCTGCAGCACAGGGATAGTCAATGGGGTGCCCTCCAGATGTTGTTGGACTACAACTCCCATCATCCCTGAAACACTGGCCATGGTTGTTGGAAGTCAGAGTCCACCATATATTGAGGCTGTCCCTGCTCTAGCACATAAAACCTCTTAAAGTGAACTCCATGTTATTTATGAAGTGTGATACTCAAGAAGTATAGAAGAAGACTATTTTTTGTCAATTTGCTGTTCTCGCTGCACCCACCCCCTTATGCTGTTTCAAACCTCTGGAGATTTTTGGATGGGGCTGCAGGGATGGAGGGTGAATATGCAAAATATCACTCCCCTCCCCCTCTTGTCTGCAGACTAGAAGCTTCCATTGGCTCAAAGGGCTTTCTGTCATAAGAAGAACAGCATTGCATACAATCCTATGAACTCCTATCAATTTGCTTGCGCCACTTCACAATTTCAGCAGTGCTGTGATGGTTTGTAAGTCATGAAAAACCATGGCTTAGTATTTTATTATTATTTATTTCAAATAGTGTTATATTTCTTACTGCTAGGAAAATCTTGAAGCAGGTCACAACACGAAAACATCCATTAAAACTATTTCAAAATGCAGCTATCAGAATATCAAGAAATATACAGTTGTAGAATCCAGTATTGATGATCAGGAAACGTCTAAGCAAAGAGATGTGTTTTCAGTAAACATTGGCAGCATGCTACTGTTGATGCTGCCCAAATAATGGGGGTGGGAGAAGCTTCTACAACACCACCACAGAAAAGGCCCATTTATATTTTTTTGCTAGATGACAATCTGCAGATTGTTGTGTGGCCAACAGGCGTCCTCTGAATATCTTAATCAATCTTACAGAGAGTGAAGGTGGTCCTTCATGTAAACTGGCCCTGAGTTGCTCAGGACTTTATATGTTAATAAGAAAAGCTTAAGCATTGTTTGGTAGGCAATAGGCTTTCATTATTGTGATGGGAACAAGTCACAGAGAACTTCCAGCTCACACGATTCCGCCATACTGGTGTGGCCGTGTAGAGATCAAAAGTTTCACTTCTGCTTTTGACAAGTTGCAGTTTAGCAGTGCAACCAAATCCTAAACTGTGGTTATTCTTAACTGGTTAATTGAACAAAATAGCTTTGCATCCCATCATTTGAAGTTGGCTTGTTTTGAATAAGCCATAATAAATATTAATTGCAGTTTATCAGGTTTGGATGAAATGACAACCTATGGTTAATTTTTTTAAAAAAGGAAGTGAACAGCTCAAATTTCCACCTCACAGTCTTGCCAGAGGTGGATCTGGGAGTATGTAACCCCAAGACTTGTTGAAGCTCATTCCCATCACAATAAATCATGGTTTATTATCACATCTGACCTAGGTCACTATTTTGCTCTGTTGCTTTAATTAAAAGATATTACTAAATTACCACTTTCAGGTTGTCATTATTTCACAGGTGGGATGCAACTGCATATTGGCAAAATCAGGTTGTACACTTAAAGTGGATTTGGCACTTTTGCTCAACAAACATGCGTCTTCTTTTTTTTAAAAAAAGGATTTTGTGGAAATGAATGTGATGGGGAAATGCACTAGGAAGTGTGGGATAGCCATTGCTTGATAGGATGTTGTCTGCAATCTCCATGCATACAAATCAGAATGAATGTTCAATAAACAGGTCATCTGGAAGCAACCTATGTTGCTTTGTTATGTCTATATGACAGAAATTATTCTTACTCCAAATTTCCTTGTTACCTGAAGTTGCTGTCATTCCCCACCCCCCGCAGCTCTCTGTCTAGCTATTGCTATATGTCAGCTGTACCACGTAACAATATGCATTTCAGAACTTACGGTTCAGCTTCAATGCTCTGGTCAGGAGCCACATAGTTGGCAGGGATGTAACCTTGCCGCTTCTGTCCATGCTTAGCAGACCCGTTCTCCACAAGCAGCTTTGCAAACCACCAGCTCCCTTGAGATTTATCCAGCACTTCAAGCTTATCTCCAGTTCGGAAGCTCAGATCTTCCTCTGTACGGGCTTGGTAATCAAACAGGGCCACATATTTGCAAGTCTGCTTTGATGGATGAAGAGGCGGTGGGTCTGGGATGCATATACAGGTGTCACCCGGGGTGTCTGGCCTCACAGGCGAATTGATGGTAGTTGGGTTCGACTTATCCTCAGTCGCACAATTGAAAAGCCAAGGCATATAGGGCTCCAGACAAGCACAATATTTCCGACAGCAGTTACCCATTCTGTCCCCTTCTTGCTTGTGGCCTGTATTCCTTCAGTCCCCTTCTTCCTATCCTGAAGCATTCAAGATCCCTTCACACCCATTTTTTCCATTCAGCGTCATTTCAAAGATAGTCCCAGGACTCCTTCCTCTAGTACAAAAGGCAAACGATTTCACTGGACGTGTCCTCTTCTCTGCTTCTCCCCCTCCAAGTCTTCTTCACCATAAGAGTTTCCTCCTTGCCTTCCAGCTCCACACTCAGGACTGAAATCTGAGCACTGAAGTGCAATTGTTCATGTCAGGGGAATTTTTTCACTTCCTCTTCTGATCGGTCAGAAAGACCTGAATCGTCACGTTAGGGGCCAAAAAATCTTGTAGCAACAGAACAGGTAAACAGAAACAGGAGAGAGAGCTTCCAGCTGAACTTCCCTATCTTGCACCTCCTCGTTCCCTTTATTCTCTTTAAATGTACTCTGGCAGTAGGGAGGCTCTGCACACATTGTAGCTCCTGGTAATGAATAACCAATCTAACTTGCCTTGTTGCTTTAATATGCTGAGTTGCTTGTGGACAAACTATTTTTTGTATGCACTTCCTGGTTTGCTCTTTTCCCCTTCTGTCTTGGTCACTGTGTGTGTTGCTGTCCCTCAAACACATACGCCACTCTCTCCTTGATGACAGTGCCTCGTCTGATGATCATTTTATTGCACAATGAATTTGCACTTTTTTATTTCGTATTCACAAAGAATCCAGAAATCTTTCCCAGATGGCCAGGCCACATTGTGGAATGCCTTCCCTGCTGAGGTGCACCCACCTCCCTCATTCTTAACATTCAGGAAGAAGTTTAAAACATTCCTGATTACGTGGCAAGAGGTGGAAGATACCATCCACAACCACCTTGAAATTATCAGACATTCTTAATTTTTAATTAATTCTTAATTTTTAAACTGTTCTGGATGTTTGAAAATTTGTTTTTATAATTGTATTGTTTTAGGTGTTGTCACCCTGGGCTCCTTTGGGGGAAGGTTGGGATATAAATTTAATTAATAAGTAAAATAAGGGCCCATCTGTGTTGCAACCTCAGAATCAATAATATTAAATAAATACTGTAATAAATAATAAAATGCTGTCATACTTTGTTCTTGTTCTTCTTCCTACAGCATTGTTATAAGAATAAGATGGAGCAAGAGCACCATAAAGAAAAAGAGGTATATACATGTTACAAATAATAAAATTCTTTAGATCTGAAGAAAACAAATCTAATTTTTTGAGGACAGGGAGTTTCCACAAAATTCTAGAATGTCCAGACCTAACTGCTTGATTTATTTAGCAGTACTTGCAGCTAAGTGGTGATGCATTGGCTTACGTTTTCATTTTAGTCATCTAACTATGAATTTAAGAACCAAGCAGTGATTTGCTGACTCGGGTTAGCAACCCTGAAGGGAAGTGGAAAGTGGTTCACCCAGTCTATCTGCATTTTATACATAACCAATCACCACAGCAAAGCAATATCCTCAATAGTAATTTAGTCACATTTCTCAGATAAACATAGAGTATGCAGTAATGCATACACAGACTGCCTCCACTGCCCTCCCACAATGCAGAGCTATCTTGCAGTTTCTTGAGAAACTCGCTTGATGTATTTCCCCTCAAACCACAAGGAAAACATAGGCCACTTCACAGTTAAGCTGAGGTGTGTGCATTTGAGACAGCCATTGCACATGCACAGATGATAGCTTCATGAACAGATGTTGAAGAGCAACTGCAGGGTCAGTTCTATGATCTATGATTCTATGTCACCTCCCACCTTCAACCACAAATCTGCAGACCACAGGAATGAAGTTCACATTCCACAGTTTGGGATCCCCTGGGCTAGCTAATAACAGTAGATTGCTCATCCATGGCCTATCTTATATCAACAGGAGCCATATATTGTAGAAATTGTAGAAATAACAGGAATGACGCTTAAAGAGGCTTTTTAATGTTGTGTGTAAAACTCATCTAGGAAGAGTCTCCCAGCAAATTAATTAAGGTTATTTGCTTCCCTGAGTGGTGCCAAGTTTGAGGGAAACTTATGTTTGGGGATAAAATTGTGAAGGGATATAATTTCAATTTTGCTGCTGACACCTTTATGGCCCTTCGGCAATTTAATGTTGTCCAGTTGTTTTGTGTGTGTGTGTGTGTGTGTGTGTGTCCATCCTGAGATTCTGTGGAATGAATGGCAGTCTGAAGTACAATCTATCAGTATTTTGCTTTATTAAAAATTATATAATCATAGCATGGGGGAGGATATCTGAAGCAGGCAGCTTGAATTTCTCTGCCCTGACTGCTAGCTGGAGGGTGCCACTTTTCAGGGATAGAAGAATTAGTTTTCCAGACATCAAGGAACATTATTGGTAGAAATGCAGCCACTCATTAGTTACTAAAGTTAATACTCTCCTCACAGTAATGAGGGAATAGCAGCTCCTAGCAATTCACCCTCCCATTCCAGATTAAAAAAACTCTGTATCATGTTTTGTTCTTGCCTGCTTAGCCTCTTTGAACTCATTTCTAGTACTCTTATTAACATCATGACCAAATATGATAAGCCCTCCTTTTGGGGGCTTGCACTGTAAATAAATATACTGAGATTAATGGCAATGCTCACTAGCAATACAGTTTACTTGAAAATAATATACATTGATAAAATGCCAGGATTTAAGCTAAATTCAGGAGACTGTTCTAGTGCCAATATACACAGATGGTAAGCTCGGATCCAATGAGCAAACACATTTTATATCCCTTCCTTTATACAAATTATTTCATTGCCAATGCAAAAAAGAAGCTCTAATTCTAACTTTCTTTTCCAGTGCTAAAAGCTGTTCACTTATCTTTCTCTTAATCAGACCCAGACCATTCATAGGAACGCATTAGACAGAATAACAATAGGTTGGGTGGAGTTTTCAAGAACAGTGTGGTAAGGCTAAAATGGGCTGCAATTCCATAAATGTTTTGCAACATTTGCCACACACTTGCTTCCCCCAAAGGTCTGGCTTTCAGAAGATAATAATGTGTCAAAAGTGCGTATAGTGTAAATACAAGGTGTATACAATAACATATAGAACTTTCTTGAATAATTCTGCACATATCCACCACCATATTGACATTTTCATAAGCAGTGGGATTACCACTACGATATGTGACTATGTCTTTTCTCTCCAAAATAAAAGTCAAAGTGGCTAAAAAGAAATTTCAGTAAACTGAAAATAAGTAAAACTAAAATAAAGTGTAGATGGGGCCTTAGTTGGATACAATCTATAAAAACCTGGCAGCACAAAAAGTCCACAAACTAACAAACTTACCTCCCTCAGCACAATGACACTGAAATGCATTCATCAGCCTCTAAACCTGCCAAAAATGAGGTCCCCTCTCTACACTCCTTGATGCACCTAAGTCAGTTGGGGAATCTAAAGTAGGACCACCAATGTTGTTCAGAGTATTGAGAGGAGATGGTTCTAAACAGTGGTTTTTTTGTAGAAAAAGAGGTGCCAGAACTCACCATGAACATCTCCCTCTTTCGCTTAGAATGGCCTGGAACCCACCTGAGAGGTTCTGGAACCGAGTTCCTGTGAGTTCCCTCTGAAAAAGCCCTGGTTCTAACTGTACCCAGTCCTTTAAAAAACCCCTCAAGGTTTCAAAAGCACCAACCAACACTTTGAATTGTGCTCTCAAATAGTTGCCTGTGAAAGCTGGAAAGGACCAGAGAAATATGTTGCGTCCTGCCATCCAGTTGATGTTTCTGATTATTTTCAAGGACAGCACCATAGGAAACACAAATTCTTGAAGCATATTCAGGGTTAGTCCCATGGAATGGTGCCTCAGTTTGTGAAAGAGATTGGCCTAGCAATAGCTGCTGCTAAATTCCTTAATATAAATTGGTGCAGAAGCTGGTTTAACTTAGCAGTGGCAAATGTCAAGTATTGTGGAATCCTGCAATTTTTCCAAGTCAGAACATTGGTCCATCTATCTCAGTATCTTCAACACTTAACTAGGAGTACCCCCCCCCCCAGATTTCAGACAGGGTTTTTTTCCTCAGTTGGATCTGAAGTTGCTGGTGGTTGAACCTGGAACTCTTTGCATGCAAAACCTGTGCTCTGCCACTGAGTTACAACCAATTCCCAGTGTGGTCTTTGGTCAGTAACTTAGCATATTTGAATGAGAAGGAAATTTAGACAGGCAGGACAGGAAGAAGGGCCATTTGTCTTGGCAAAGGATTCTGGAGGCATAGTTTTAGCAATCTAGGGAATGTGGAGTTGTGAGCGACAGGTAGGTGTGCTCACAACTTGAGAAGGAGTGAGTTGACACTGGAGGGTAGTGCTAGTACCAAAACAGTTTGTCCTCCAATCCTGATATGACCTCATGTGTGCATGTTTATTAATAGGTTTTCATCATTACTTTTGAGCCAAGGTTGAAAATGTGTAGGCTTAGCTTAAGCATAAATGCTGTTGTGGATGTGAATCGACTGCTGCAGTTAACAGGATAACAATTGTACAGAAATGTATAAACTGCTAATGGTTCAACTGCTCAATGTCCCTGCACTGTGCCTCCTGCTGTTAGCATTTTATAAGAATACCAACTTCTAGGAATAATAGCGTTTTAAAGTTGCTTTAAATGCACAGCTTGTAGTCTATTGATGTACATCATTTACACAGAACGTTTTCTGTTGTTAGTGCCATTTTCCCTGATAAAAGCCTGCTGCTACCTCTAATTCCATTAAATCCTGTTCCATTTAACTTACTATCAGCTTAGGCCTTGTTTACTTACACAAAATAATTGTAATGATTAAACACAGCTGTAAAAGACGCGTTTCTCAGCCAAGTAAAGGACAATAATTCCATAAACAAATTAGGAGTTATTTTAACATAGGAAAGACCTTGACTGCAATATTATTTTATGTTTTCTCTTTACTATTTTATTATTTATTTTTACTGGGTAATTAAATCGCAGACTATAGCCGGAACAGTTGGGTTTCAGGAATACAGAACACCTATTATTTGCACATTAATTGGCACCATGCTTTACAATTGTGTTTTGGAAAGTAACAACTACGGTAAATGCCTCCCCATGCTACATGTAGGAAATTGCTATTACTTTTTGAAATATCCGTGTATGTGTAGCTCAAAGTACTCATTAATATTAGGTTTACTTAAACAAAATGTTATTCAGGAGACCTATGCACATTTGCTAAATGAATTATGGCCTGCACTACAAATCACTTAAGCTAGTGTATTTACACATGCAAATCAAACCAATTTGCTTAAATCTGCCTGAATCAAAGTATTGCATCTTAAGCCAGTTGTTTTTGTATGAAATTTTTTTTGGGGGAGGGGGAATTTAATTTGCATCATAAAGTATACATTTTACCCCCAAAAAAGTATTTGGTAAAGAAAAATAATTAGCAGGAAACAGCCTGCATAGTTCAGTTGGTTAGAGCTAGTGCTATTAATGCCAAGGTTGCAGGTTTGATCCCCATATGGGACAGCTCTATATTCCTGCATTGCAAGGGGTGTACTAGATTATACTTACGGCCCTTTCCAACTCTACAATTCTATGATATCAGAAACAAAATGCCAACTTTTTCAGAGAACACAAACTTTGGTATTCCCTGCCCCATGGAACTTGGCACATCAGACTGCAAACCCATATGTATTTCCAAGGGCTATATACTTGGTGCCCCTGCTATAGCGTGTATGGGCATATATGCACATCTATAATACCCAAATTGGAGGCTACAGAAATGGTGCATCTGCTAAAACATATGCCTGGGTAAATACCTGTATTCAGGACATACAGTAATACCCAATATAGTCATGTTGTTTCTGTGTTTTCTTAGTTCTGTACATTGTCGTTGTGTCCTCACTGAGAAATGGACATCTAGGAATGAATCCCAGTGGTATAGGGTTGGAGCTCAGAGACCATCACCTTGCATGAGGTCCAGACAAGACAGAAGAATGCAGAGAAACTGGACACTTGGTAGGAAAATCTAGAAGTGCATGCAAATCTAGATGTGCACGTGGAAAATATCTTCTGGAGAGCCATACATATAAGGCCAATCAGACCATTGCCCATTTCTAGGCAAGCCTGGCCAATAAATGAGAGTATTAGTAGCTATAGCTATGCTTGAATCTGGAACGTGAATACCATTGTTTCTGCCCTTGCTCAATGTAGCACTGAGTGCCTTCCCATGTATGACAATAAAACACATCAAAACGCCACTGGTTCTAAATCAAGTCATTTTTAATACAGTGGTACCTCAGGTTACATACACTTCAGGTTACATACGCTTCAGGTTACAGACTCTGCTAACCCAGAAATAGTACCTCAGGTTAAGAAGTTTGCTTCAGGATGAGAACAGAAATTGTGTGGCGGCGGCCCTATTAGCTAAAGTGGTGTTTCAGGTTAAGAACAGACCTCCGGAACGAATTAAGTACGTAACTAGAGGTACCGCTGTACTCCGCTAAGTTCTACTCCCCTGATGTTTTGTGGAAACTTCTGTGCATTGAAACGTTTTTATGCCATCTTAATTCTACAGATCTAAAGAATGGGATGCCTCTCATTCTATAGCTGAATAATGAAACTTTCTGCACCACTCTCCTAACCCAACAAGGGGGAGGGGAGCGAAATAATATGCCTGGCATTAGATGCATAAAAATAAATAACAGCCATAGAAATCAAGGAGACTACTGCGTAGCCTATGAGCTACAGCATTAGTCTCTGATGGAAAATCACAGTAATGTCCTCTATTTTTAAACAGTTGCACTAGTCAGCTAAGTGCATGTAGGCTGGGAGATGACAGCTGGGAAGGAAATCACTATGCCCACCCTAAGCACTTATATGCTGGAACAGAAAATCTTATGGCTGGGCTGTTAGCTTTTAGTTTCCTATATGCCATAAAGGAAAGCTCTTTTATTATACAAGGAAATATTCTGGCCTGCTTTTTACTGGAACATTTATTTGATTGCGTTATCATTGTTTTCTGGGTTGTTATCTTAATTGTTGCATATTTTGATCCCACTTCATGCAGAACTTGTCACGGTTAAAGGTTAAAAATGTGAGCCACAGGCTAGGAAATCTCCAGTTCCGATTCAGCTAGATTTCAGTCAAGTGTCAACTGCATTTCAGAGTGAGGCTTCATGACTCGAGAGCCCAATGTAATTTTGTAAAAAGCAGCTGCAGAGAGAGGGGATTTGATCAGGGCAGTGGTGCAGGAAAAAAGTGGGGCCTAATATACCAGTTTGATTACTACATTGCATTGTTACTGAGGACAAATAAGATTGTACAAAAACAAGATTGGGTGCAGGCCTGACCAGGCCATAGGCGTCCTGACTGTGGCAAAGGTGACCTGTGTGCTTGCTTAACAGCTGTTGGGAACTTCAAGGTCCCTGTTCTCCCTTCTTATGGTCTTTGTACTGGACCTGGAGACTCCAATAGAGAGCATTCCATGTCAAGGAGGGCGAGTGGACACTCTATCAAATGACAGGGCAGGAGTTACACAGAGCAGAGCCTTTTCACTGGTGGTTCCCATTGTATGCCTCGCTCTTTCCAGACCTGCTCTCTCTTGGCCTGTATTTTGGAGCTTTATAATTTAGGAAGACTTTGGAAAAACTGGTTGACAAGTCTTATCAGTTGCTGACGTATGAGCGGATTTTATTTGCTGCTATTCTGTGCTTCTGGTGCACCAGGGTTTACACTAGCATAATAGAGTTGGCCAGGATGCCAGAAGGGATACAATTTATGAGCTTTCTCCATTATCTGCACAGCAGGGGGTGTTCAGTCAACAGTGCAAAGGCTGAGCTGAAGCATTCCCTGCTGGTTACCTGCTTTCAGCAATAGAGGTCACTGATGGTAGTACCCAATTGGTTAGCTGTCAGATTCTAGAGCTCCCTATTGGTGGCTCTTAGGTAATTCACAAAATACAGAGTCCATTCATAAAACACAGTATTCATTCATAAAGCAGTAACATAAATCTCCATTGCTACATATTGGGTGTATATTTCAGCGGTTGAACGCACAAGTTTATGGCCATGCTGTAGTGTAGTGCTTATGCGACTGTGAATAAAGTGACTGGGCTCATTGTCTCAGGGTTTGCGGGGAGGTAAGAGATAACAAAACAAATTTCCAATAAGTGCCCCCCCTTTATTTCCACAACAAGTCCTTAAGTCTGTACTCTGAATGGTGACACCAGAGACCTAGAAGGTGCAGGGCTTGTCAGTCCAACCCCTGCACAGTCTCATCAGGGCTGATCTGAAGGCAATTGGGCCACATTAGGCCTTGTGGGCTGCTAGATTGCACCAGGGCAATCTAGATGGATTTTATTTATATCTATAAGATTTTGCAGACTTTGGCTGTGAACTGGGGTCCTACCAAAAAAAAAAAAAATTCAAGTTGCACCCCACTGCTTCAAATTGGGTCCCACTGGCTAGCCCTGAGTCTAATAGTTGCTGGGCCTGAGTTGCCCTGCCCTTGCATGAAGTCTTGGGTTCACAGTTTTGATAGAGGGGAGACTGTGTTACTGTATGTAGGTTTTATTTTAAATGTTTTTTATCTTATATTTTGGAAATGTACATCATTTTCCCCCTTTAATTTTTTTGGGGGCCCCCAAGACAGTGGGGCCCTAAGCTATAGCTTGTTTAGCTTATACGTAAATCCGGCACTGCTTATAGGCAACAAACCGACCGGGCTGCGAAAGCTTTGAGAGAAAGTGTGTAATGACAGATCTGCGGACGGTTCCGAAATGAGCGCCGAAAGTTCAGCGTCCTGAGCTTACCCTCGTTTCAGAGGAAGCCCTGCCTTTCGTTGCCCAAGCGTTCCTTGCCAAGTCCTCTTAAGGGTCCAAGAGGAAAAATCATGTTTTCGCTTTTTTAAAGAAGAAGGAAAGGACCGAAGACGACTTCGCTACCCGATCGTCCAGGCTCAGGCACAGGCGCAGCGTGCAGGTGGCTCGTCCGGAGCCGCGCCAAGGAAGGGGCAGGGAGGCGGGCGGAAGCGGCGGGATGCCCCCGGAGCCCCGGCAGCGTGAGTCGGCTCGGTTCCCGCAGGAAGGCGCGGCCGGAGGAGCGCGGCGGGCGGCTTCCCTTCCCGGAACAGTGGAGGGCAGACGCGGCGGCGGGCTGCTGCTTCTCCTCGTGCTTCTCGTGCGCCTCCTGCTCCTCCTCCTCCGCCATGGCGCGGCCCTCCTTCTCCCTGGCCGCCTGCGAAGTGATCGGCTTCGACCTGGACCACACGCTGTGCCGCTACCACCTGGTCGAGAGCGCCCGGGTGAGTGAGGGGCAGCCGAGGGGAGACGGCGAGGCGAGCGCCGGGGCAGCCCGAGCGGCGTCCGCTCTTCGCCCGCTGCGCCGCCGCTCCCTCCGCCCTCGTCGCAGCCTCGGCCGGCCGCTCCGCCACCGCCGGCCGAGAGCGGCGCTGCGACGCGGGCGGAGGAGGCGAGGCGGGCGCCTCGGGGGAGGGGACTCGTTGGCTGAGGCGGCGGCGTGGTTTTAGCGGGCCTCCTCGGTCTGCGGCCCTTCTGGCGGGCCTGCTGGCGAAGCGGGGAAACTCCCGCCCCCTGGAGTCCTTTGGCGCCGCATTTCTGCTCGCTGCCCAGGGGCAGAGTCAGCCCCTTGGAGTCAGTGGAGCCTCCTTCCGAGCAGACGCGCGCAGGAGTCTTTCCGCGCAATGCTGCTCGTGCTTACTCGGAAGGGCGCGCCACGGGGCTCCGTGGAGCTTACTCCCGAGTAGGCAAGCGTTGGATGGGGAAGAGGGCTCGGGAGCTGCTTCCCGTGGGCATCTGGCTGGCCGCTGTCAGTGCAGGATGCTGGGCTAGAGATGCCCGGATCCAGCGGGGGAATCACCTACCAGCAACTCGCCCTTGTGTTTCTTCCACCCCATGTCCCTGAGGCTGACTATGTCGGGTGCCTCACATTTCTGTGTTTCCAAGTTTTATTCATGTAAGAAATGTATGCACTACGCTTTGAAAATATGCATGGCAAAGCCCTTAAAGTTGGTTACAGAACAGACTGAAACATTAATCATAATATAACCAGTGCAAGGCAATATATTTGTGTCTTGCTTGGGGAAAACACATTGGTTTTTGTTTTTGTTTAAAAAAATAATATACAAAGCTGCAGACAAAGGTGAACCTCTTTGCCTACTGTGCTTGCTATCCATTATTATTAATATTTTTATGTCCCTCCTTGCTCAAGGTGGCCTACATTGTTCTCCCCACCCCACTGTCAGGTAGGTTAGGCAGAGAAACAGTGACTGGTCCAGGATCACCTAGTGAATGAGTGGGGATTTGAACTTCGAAGTCCTAGTCCATTACTCTAACCACTACACCACACACCTCAATCTTCAAATGTCTGTTCCTCCCCTCTTTCCCTTTATCCTCAAGTATTTATATGAAGGTTTGAAACTCTCCCCTGGGAATTTCTGTTGTGGAAGTGCAACTCATTTGAATGGCAGGTATTCAAGAGCACATGTGATATTAGAGCACCTGTGATAAAAGTTAGTGTGGGAAGACCTCTGGTTTCTCCGCATGGGTCCAGCGCAATTACAACAAGCATGAGATCTAGTATTTTTTTATATCCTGGTGTAAAATCTATGGGCATCTTTAATTTATGAAATTGTAACTGGTTTTATTCCAGTTTAATAGCTTCTTCCAGAAGAGTCCTGAGAAGTGAAGTTTGAAGACAGAGAACCCTACTCTCACACTTCTAAATTCCTAGGGCAGGCTTTCTCAACAGGATTGTTCCCAATGGAAGAGAAAGAGAGTGCACATTAGTGACAGAGAGACTGCACGTTTATTGTTCAAACACAAGTTGCAGTATTTACTGAAATTTTTTGCATCTCACTTTTCTAAGAGTTTGCCAAGGTACAAACCATGTAAACATTGCAACTAGTGATGAAGACCATCTCAAGCTCTTTCCATGCACATATTTCAACTACACTGGTACCTTGGGTTACATACACTTCAGGTTACACATGCTTCAGGTTACACACTCCACTAAGCCAGAAATAGTGCTTCAGGTTAAGAACTTTGCTTCAGGATGAGAACACAAATCGTGCTTTGGCGGCGCGGCGGCAGCAGGAGGCCCCATTAGCTAAAGTGGTGCTTCAGGTTAAGAACAGTTTCAGGTTAAGAACGGACCTCCGGAATGAATTAAGTACTTAACCCGAGGTACCACTGTAGTTTTCTATGGGTGCATTGCTCACATTAAAGAAGTAACTATGAGACATAAGGAGGGGAAAAAACCTTGAGGTGAGGCTGGATTACATTTCAGAACATTTCACCCTTCATTCTCAAAATGTCACCTTGAGGGTAAAGAAATGTGAGTGTTAAGAATTAATCTAAATGTTAGCCTTTTTATGTGCAGAACATTCTTCTGCAGCTAATAAGGTAAACTTTAAAGTGTGAAGTGACGGAATCTTGGAGTGTCTCAGTATATTTAATTTTATGTAGCGTTACATCTTCCTTTCTCTCTTAATTTGCAGCTTATATATGATAGTTTTGCTCAGTACATGGTAAAAGAGAAAGGTTATGATAAAGAACTGCTGAACGTATCCCATGAAAGCTGGGATTTCTGGTAAGTGATTCTGTTTAAAAATAATAACTATTTCCAGACTTCTCGTCAGCTCATTAATTGCATGCATTAAAAGCACACACCCATACATATCTTTAAGGGTTACTTAGAGTATTTTCCTGGATGTATGTCCTGTTTGGCTTCAACCCTACTTTCTGCTGCTCAGGTACTCATCCTCACCACTTGGTTCTGTGGCTCTTTTGTTCAGTGACACTGTGGAATCCATAATCTCTCATCTAGAAAATTGAGCTGGATGGCTTTATTTTTCCTCCAGCCACTGCCTAACGAAGATCAAAAAGGCAATCTTTCTTCTGGACTCCTCTCACAAATGGCTATGCAGCCTCCAGAGAAGTGTTGGGGAACCCATAGATCAGCATCTGGAGAAGCCATCATATTCAATCATTGGCAATGCCGGTTGGGGTTTATGAGAGTTAGAGTCGAACGATTTCCGGAGGGCCCCACCCCTGCCCTGGGTCCTGGCCTGGCAAGAAGTCTTTTCAACATAGCCAATTTCTCTTAGGTTTTTTGGAATGATGATAGATTTGCCCATACTTCAGCATGTAATTAATTCCTTTGCCAATTTCAGTGCATTTTGATGGAAGCCAAAAACAATGTAGAAAATAATGCAATTGTTTACATAATGTTTGCGGACTGCAAAACAAAAAAACCTGAACAGTTCCTGACTTATGAACATGTGTATTGTGGCAGTTTATGCTCCCATTTCTGACCAAATTCTCCAACTTTTCTACCCATCTCCCTCCATTGCCCTGAGTATCTCTTACTGCCATAAGTTTATTAAGGCTGCTGTCTGTACTCGGTACCACATGTATATATTTGGAATATAAGGTTAAATGTATACAAGCTTAAATGTATCATCTTTCTCACTCTGCTCCCCACCTCTACCTTATCGGTGAAACAAATGTAGCTTTAAAGGCTTGGTGTTGGACATGGAAGATGGCAACTTCCTTAAACTTGCAGAGGATGGAACTGTTTTGAGGTAATATATTTTATTTTATTCTATAAAAACACTGTACTTAAGTTCCTATAATTGTGGATTTTTGTGTGGGGTGGGGAGGAATCTGTTTTCAAAGCACCATCATACTATTCTGTGAACTGATCATAATAATTCTACAATATGAATTGCTTTTACTCATCTAAATCCTACACTTGCTTCCAATAGTCTTCACCTGTCAGAGGAATATAGCAAAGTAACTCTTCCAGTTAGTTAAGTAAAAATCCAATCAAAATACAGATAAAAGTTAATTAATTCCTTAATGTTGTCAGTTAGCAAAATTATTGAAGTTGAAAGCAATGTGTAAAATAAAACTATACTATTTATTATTTACACCAGAGGAAGAATTCATTACCTAGATTTTCAGCTTTTCTTCCCCTTCCCTCTTCTTTTGTCAAGTCTCTAAAAATATTAGCAATTTTTGACAGGAACCGACAAATGGAATGATCTGCCTGTCTAATCCAGGTCCAATGAAATCCAAAGATTAGACAAGAGCAAGAAAAATGTCTAAAGAACATAATTTTGTGGCTCAAATTTGGTGTTATAATGTCTATATATATTGCCAAATTTGAGTCCAAAAATTATAAATCTGCTAGTGACTACTAGATCTTATTGCAGATTTTTTTTTAGAATCTCCTGTTTGGAAAGAAGAAGAAATATTTCATACAATTCATGCAATGATGTTCCACTAAGTCATACTCAGAGTAGACCTATTGATGTCGGTGAACTTCTGAGCTGTTGAAGTCCAGTGAATTCAGTGGGTCTGCTCTCAGTAAAATTAATGTTGGGTATCACTCCATGCCTTTAATTCTTGGTACATATATATGTTAAACAGGGCAAGCCATGGCACAAAACAAATGACCTCTGAAGAGATCTTACATACGTATGGAAGGAAGGAATGGCGACACTTCAAGACAATGAGTGGAATGGTTTCTCGTTCAGGTACCAGAGAAATATATATTTAACGATGCTTGGGCCTCACTGGCTAACGTATGCAAATTTATGAAGGAATCTGTGACTGGATTTCTTGGTATCTTTAGCCACTGTTCTGCACATCGAGGGAATCCATACGATTAAAGGGTAGCAGGGCTTCTCCACTGGCAGCACCCCAATGTTGTGGCCTCTCGCCTGGCTCTGCCTTCTTATGTCTTCAACATTGAAAGAAGGTGTGAGGGGCCAGCTTTCATGTGTTTTATGTCAGAAATTTTAATTATATATTATTTTGCTTGCTGTTATTTTGCTGGACTATTGTTGCTGTTTTAAATAATACTGCAAACTGCCCTGGAACCACTGGGTGAAGGGTGGGTTTAAAATCCTTTTAATAAACAATACACAAATAAAATTCTTTTATTTTTCTCTGCAGCTAAATATTATGCCTATGACAATTACTTTGATCTGCCTGGGGCACTTCTTTGTGCACGGATTATTGATGGTTTAAACAAAGTAAGTGTTAACAGTGGGGTTTTTTTCACTGGGCTGTAGACCAGGTTAACTTAAACGAGAGCTTTTTCTCCCTTGTGTTCCTCCTTTTTCTGTTCCTCACCTTGCTTAGGTATTAGGTAATGGGCTTGCTTAACAATTATGCTGCAAGAGGAACTTAATTTCTGTGATGGAATTTTATATACCTGTTCCATTGCAATGAATAAGTTGGACCATGGCAGTCATAGGAGTCACTTCTGTAGATGACCAAGTAGTGGTCTTGGGGCTAAATTAGACATGATGTTCAACATTCACATATTTAAAATGCAAATAGCAGCCTTAGAGATTGGGATTGCAGAAGCTGGAGATGGGAAATCAAACCCTCTTCTTCCCCTGTTGCAGTTCTGATGAAGCACCCACTTCCCCTGCTTTACCCTGCCCCTTACCTATGACAGACAACACTGCTTCCAGATAGTGAATTGTATAAACCCTTAAATATCATCTTCCTACATGCATTCCAAATTCACACCTGTTTTCTCTGATGGATGACAAATGAATCTTTTGGTTTTCAGTCCTGAGTCTTGAGGCTAGGTTAACCTGTTCTAAAAGCTTTACAGAATGAACAGGCAAACTGCCTTTCATTATCTGCAATGTACATTGTGGTTACTCTCCTTTATTTTACTGAAGGGCATAGGCAAACCACAAGAACCTCTCTCACCCCATGTGCAAACACGCTGACAGAACTCGCCTGAGTTTGTAACTTTAGGGGTTTGCGGCCTAGGAGAGGCCATTCTCTATGGCAACCCCTAAGTGGGTTAATTTCCTCCCCCCAGAGGTGCATCTGGCATTGTTATTATAAATTACATTTGTCAGTTCCTTTCATCACAGAAGTGAACCAAAGCGAGTTACTTTAGAATCAGTTAAAGCGAATACAACCAATAAAAGCCTAAAAGCAAAATCCACAAGAAGAAATACAATACAAAAGAAACAGTGCAGATTGGGCCCAGAAGGATAAGGCAAGTGAACAGGCAGCAGTTCTTTGGAGAGGAGGAGGGAGGCCTACAGAGAAAGGGGGACCACTGAGGGCACCTTGCCTAAGGGTTCCCCCCCCAAAAATTGGAGCCAGTACTGGGTGCCCCAACCCGCTGCATCTGTCCCTTGCATCTGTCACTCTGCTCAGTGAAAGGGCACGTCCTGTGCTTTGAAAGCTGGGGTGGAAAAAGTAGGCCTAAGAAGTGGGGAAAAGGTGTTCTCTCTTTTACATGCAAGGGTCACGGGGAGAGGGAACCTCAGCCTGGATTTGGCCTGGTTCCTGGTGTTTGGGGCACATGCGGACAGGGATGTTTTTGTTTGTTTGTTTGTTTGTTTGTTTACTGAGCACTCCAAACCTTGTAACTCTACCTCTGTGTTTAGAAACGTGTTTGTATTACTTTTGGTTGGCATGCAAAGTTTGCTGCCTCCGCAGGCCCATGTTGAAGCACTACTGTATAGCAAAGCTTTTAAGTAATTTTAGGCATGTCACTAAGGAGAACAATTTACTACAACAGCTGAACTGCAAAGAGACAGATTTGTTAAAATGAAGAGCAGAAACCGAAACACTTTCATGCCCCTGTGATGCCTGTGATTAATCTGTTTTGTAAATAACATCAGTCTGCCAGTTTAGTTTCAGATTTTGTGGTAGAAGATTCCCCCCACCCACCCAAAATAGCAACACAGTAAGTGATGCAGAATGATCTGTATATTTCAGTATCACAAGATTAATTATTGCATTTTTATTCGTGATAGGTTGTTAACAGATAAGGAAACAAGACATTGCCTTTCAGTGTGAGTTAAAACCTGAGCTGTTTCCCATTTCCCTTTCTCAGGCATGGCCTATACACACACAGCAGAATGAGGTGACAGAATAGACTATACAAGTGGTTCTCAAAAATTTCACCCCAAGGCAGATGGAGGCAAAGTTCGGAATAATCAGCTGGCAGTTACAGAAATAATGTTCTACTGGTGCCTCATCCATCTTTGGAAATTGCTAAATTATTTGCCACCATGTTTTCCTTGTGACAAGGAGTTCCAAAGTTCAGAGGCCCTCAGGCAAAGTACAGCCATTTGCTTTGGAGGTATTGTAACTCAACCAGGGGTGAGGGAATGAAGCAAAAAATCATAGAAGAGAGCATTGCTGCCTGGCCTTTGAACATGGTCTTGTCAAGCTACATTTTTGCTGTTGCTGCAGGTTCCCTTTCAAATCACTAATTTATGAAACTCACAGTGATTGTTCTGTTAAAATTTGGAGTGACTTTTAATTGAGGAAGCTCAAAGGATTTCTTGGGGTTTTTTCTTGCTTACAGCATAGTCCTAGGCGAAAGTATGACTTTTGGAAGGATATGGTTGCTGCCATACAGCATAATTATAAGACTTCAGCTTTTAAAGGTAAGCAAATTCATTGTCATGTGATGGGTATTTTTACTACTACTACAACTACAACAACAATGCTATTCTTTGTGTATCTGACAGTTCATGGCACTTAGTAGTCTGAGTGTTGAATATGCCCATTCAGTACCATATATATGGTTAGCTTGACCGAACTATAACCATTGCATAGAAGTGCACTAAAAGTCACTTCTGTACTGATAAAAGTCTTCCAAGTTATCAATTCATAGTTAAGTGATGTTAAGTTAGGGTTATACTTGTACTTAGAAGATTTGCATCTAAGAATGGAACAAGATGCTTGGCGACCAAAATGTGTTTCCCAGTTCTGTGTTTGCCTGAGACATCAATCGGTCCATTCCTTTTTCTCCCTTCCAAATGCCCACCTCATGCCCTCACACAGCACTGGAAATTTCTCTGTTTCCCTCTGAATGTCTGTTTCCAGCTTAAAACCCAACCAGGGTCAAGCTCACTGCAGAGCAGTACATGCAGCAATGTTGTTAAGGGGCTGGAAACACCCAGTGTATTTAATGCCAGGCCTATCTGTCAGGTCTGAGTGATGTCTGTTCCAGGAGGCCCTGCAAGAGTTCCTCACCCATGATATTGCATGGAGGCGGGAATGGCTCTTCAAGCATATCATGGTGTAAGATGTACATAATCTGACTGGAGGTGTGTGTGAAAAAATTGCCAGAGGTAACTGTCATATATAGCTTCTTCCAGACTTTTAAGTGGACTGTGAACAGGGAGAACAGACATCCCTAGACTACCTGCTTTCTATTTATTACAGGTGTCTCCCACCCCACCCCCACCCTCATTTCAGAATTCACTTCTGAGGGCAGGTTCCAAAAAAAAGTAACAATATTATAAAATATATTCAGAGATTGATGCTGCACAGTGCTGACAGGGAGTTGTATCTATATTTCTATACTTAAAATTTGTACGTAGCCTTGTACCTGCGGGCTTATATCTCCACGGCAGATTTTCCTCCTTCCTTTGAAGTTCTGTGGATCAAGATGATGCCTTAAAAGACTTAGGCCGCATGGTACTGGGATAGTAGTACCTTTGACTTCAAGATTCCCCTTACAGCACTTGCATCCTTTGAGATAGAGATAGGCTTGTTTTGCTTTCAGTGCAGCCATGTAGCTGGTAGCTAAAAGCCCCACTCATATTTTTTTAATAGAACAAATTCTCAGGTAAGATTTTTTTTTTTTTAAATGTATTTCATGTATAAGTTTTTGTCAGTATAGTCATTTGGGAAAATAACAATGACTTTGCCACAACACCATGATTCCAAGAAACAATTTTAAAAGTACTAAATAATGGCAAGCAAAACAGAAATAGGTTTCACTTTTTTATTAATACAGCTTTTAAAAATCACGTTTGACAAACACAACTAGACATTTTTAGAACAAAGTGTAAAATGCTGGTGTCAAATGAATATAATAAAGACCATTTATTTTTATTTCACACAGACAAAAAACGTAATCAAGAACTTAGTGTGGGTGAAATATTAACATTAAAAAATGTAACTGGTCTCATGTTGGTACAATAAGTGAATAATTGTACAAGCACCATAGTGTAAAACTAATGCACATAAATAATACTTCCCTCTCCACCATCATTTATCATTCTCTCAATGCCATTATGTATTTAAGGGAGAGGAGACTATTTAAAAGCATTTGAATGTATATTTTCTTTTGGAAGAGACTTTTGACACAACCTAACCATGCTTAACTAATTTTATTCAGAATATTCCAGTTAGTCTGTAGCACCTTATATTTAATTTTATCTTATAGAACTTAACACATTGTTAACTAATTAACCAATGTGACAATCTTTATCGTTCCTAATGACTAATTATAGTAGTTTCACATTAGATTTGTGAGTGATAATCGCAGGACTCACATTCATATGAACTTTGTATATGAGCTTGCTGGTGAACTCCTACCCGAAATACACTTCTGTGATAAGCTAGCCTCTGTGATTTCAAAAGAAATAACTTTGTTGCCATAGTGTCTTTCACCTATGAGTTCAGCCTCTTTTAACTCTTTTAATTATTTTTGAATCTACTTTGAGGGGAAAATAAACTCATTTAAACCAGTATCATTAATCAGATTATTAAAGAGTAAGTAGTGTCAGGATAGAAGCATTAGATCTTTAGAAATGCTTCTTTTCTACACTTCTGTAGATGATAAAACCCCATAGCCTTACAATTTTAAATATCTAATCCCGGCAATTACAATTGGGATTTCTCAGTGTTTGGGCAGGTTAAATACATTGTTGAGTATTGCACTGAAATATAATTATAGTTTGTGAACATCACCCTTTAAAGTAGGAGTGAGGAATATATGGCCCTCCAAATGTTGTTGGACTACATCTCCTATCATCCCTAACAATTAGCTGGAGTTAATGGGAGTTGGAATCCAGCAACATTCTGGAGAGCCACAGACTCCCGACCCCTTCTTTAAAATGTCTTTTAAAAACAGCACCTAAGATAAACATAAAGTAGCATTTGCCTTTGAAATTTAATTTTGAATTCACACTTTCTTCAGCTAGTCTCCTCTGGACATCTACAAGTAGAAACACAAATACTAAGACACTATATGTTGGGGGTGGCAGAATGTTATATTTGTGCAAATAAGAAACCTGAGAAGGAGGAGTGAACGTACTCTGAAGAGAACAGGCCGTTCGATTCATTGTTGGGCAGCTGCAACCAGACTTGATCATTTTCCATGAGCTCAATAACAGCACTACCAGAAGCCTGATCGAGGTAGCCTTTCTTGTACTCATCAAAGGTGTACATGATGGGCGAGCCATTTTTGTACAGGCCTACCCAAACATGTGACCCTTTCACATGCACATGGTAAGCAAAGTAGTAAAGTCCTGGTATCCTGCAAGTGAAGATCCCTGACCTGGGGTCGTAGTGCTGTTGTCTATTGTACAAGATCTTATCAAATCTGATAGGGGCAGCTGATGCAGGGTAAGCTTTGGAAAGAGTGGCAGTGAAAGCTGACACCGGGAAGCCAGTTAGACCTTGCACTTCACCAGCTTTCATAACAGGTATTCCGGCCAGGGCCTGGCCTCCTGGGATTACTGCTTCTCCAGGAGGCCCAGGTGGACCTGGAGGACCTGGCAAACCAGGCTGCCCATTGTGGCCTTTGGGGCCTGGTGGTCCTGGGGGTCCCATAGGCCCATCTAAACCCTTTGCAGCAATACCAGCTGGGCCCGGTAATCCTGGTGCACCCGTTTCCCCTTTACTGCCAGGGAATCCTGGAATACCTGGAGGACCAATTGGTCCTTTTGTACCAGGTATTCCTGGCGGTCCTCTAGGGCCTGGTTCACCATTGAATCCTGCCACTCCCTTAGGTCCTGGTGATCCCATTGGGCCAGGTAGGCCAGGTTGCCCAGCATGCCCTGCGTCCCCTTTTGGACCTGGCAAACCTGGTTGTCCTTTTGGGCCAGGAAGTCCTGGCTCCCCTGGGTATCCTGATTTCCCCTGCAGTCCTGGTAGACCCCTCTCCCCTTTAACACCTGGGAATCCTGCTGGGCCTGCAGGGCCTCTCTCACCCTTGAGTCCAGGGAGGCCATTTTCACCTGCTGCACCTCTGAGCCCTTGAGGGCCCACATTCCCAGGTGGTCCGAGTGGTCCTGGTTCACCTGGAGCACCAGCTGGTCCTTGTTCTCCCTTTTCTCCTGGGGCACCAGGGAGACCTTCAGGTCCTCTCTGTCCCTTCATCCCGGGCAACCCTGGTTTTCCAAATCCTGGGAGACCAGAAGGCCCAGGAAGGCCAGAGGGACCTGGAAGTCCTTTTGCTCCAGGGATCCCTGGTGTTCCTGGTGGTCCACTTGGTCCAGGTTTTCCTACTCCTGGTTCCCCAGGTTCCCCACGAGAGCCTTGTGGACCTGGGGCGCCAATGGGACCTGAGGTGCCTGGAAAACCCCGCTCCCCTTTAATACCTGGCTCCCCTGGAAATCCTCTTTGCCCAGGCCTTCCTACCCCTGCTGGTCCTGGAGGGCCTGAAGGTCCCTGTGGCCCCGGCAGACCTCTTTCACCTGGGCGACCTGGAGCCCCATATCCACTCTCACCCTTCTGTCCATTGATACCAGGAATGCCTGGCTCACCTTTTTCTCCTGGGGCACCCCTTAGCCCTTGTGGCCCTGGCAGCCCTTGTTTTCCAGCAACAGATATCCCAGCTGGGCCAGGAATTCCAGGGGCCCCTGGGGGACCTCTCGGCCCTGGGAGACCGGCGGGGCCCATATCTCCTTTTTCACCAGTTAGTCCTCTTTCCCCTGGCCTTCCTTGCAAACCTGGCAGGCCTGGCTTTCCAGCGGTTGAAGGTCCTGGGGGTCCTGGGGGTCCCGGTGGCCCTTGAGGTCCTTGGCTTCCATATCCTGGTTTTCCTGGAGCCCCTGCTGGGCCTGGGAGTCCTCTTGGACCGGGAGGGCCTGCTGGTCCAGAAGGGCCTTGATCGCCCCTTGCCTGGACAACTAAAGCAACAACAATAATAATACATTAGTAAGTTCCAGGAATTAAGTAACTCAAGAAATAGCAGTCAGGATTAGTAATGACTAATTCAGATTGAATCAGAGATGGTGTTCCTCATAATAACTAGTTTTACCCTCACTGAGCTACAATTCCCAGAACCCTTGACAAACTACAGTTCCCAAGATTCTTAGGGGGAAGTCATGTCCATTGAATGTGCTTTAAATGTATGATATGCATCTGCCGGAACCTCACTTTCTACTTCCTCAAGGTCCAGGGTTCATGTTTAGCTGGTGGAGTTGCTACAGTAGTACTGCTTTCCCATATCACCAGAGCAATTTGGGAAGCCCCCAACTGCATGCCACAGGTTGTGTCCATGCCAACATTTGGAAAATTGTCTAATGCTAGGTATGGGGAGGACGATAGCATAGAAATCATGCTGTATCATTTTCCAGTCTGACAGAATAATGTGAATACTGGGGATGAAGTCTATGGTCAATTTTCAGTTCTGCTTGCTGTCATCTCTCTGACTTGCTGTTCTTTAACACCATTTCCTCCTACAATTTCTGGTTAATATTCCTAGGATTAGTCCAGCCTTCCCCATCCTGGTGCCTTCCAGGAATTATACTTTTAAATGCTTTGTTTTGGCAAATGTGGGTACGCCTAGGTTTGCCACCTGGTCATCATTTTTATGGACTATTCATATTTTAGAAAGTTCTCCCATAATATGTGAAATATGTATTGTGGATGAAGCTTGTTGATAGTTTTTCCCAAGAAACAAAATCTAGAACAACAAAAGTACATTCACGGTTTTTAAATAACACATGCTCCTTGATTGCCTGATAGGGATGTTTTTGCCCAGAGAAATGAGAGGACAAATGTGGGGGGGGGCGGGGGCGGGAATGTGTTTTCTAGGAAGAAAGAATTCAGGAAATTAAATGTGTCTTTTCTAAGAGACCTTATCTGGTGTAAAGAAAGAAGGCGGGTCCTATAAGCTCCATAATGTCAGATTTCTCATGTCCTGCTGACCAGAAAAACCAATAATTTGTGAGGTTCAAGGGTGGGAGCCATATGCAATCCAGGACAAATGAATCAAGTAACATGCAAAACATGTTTACTCAGACGTAAATCCCAATGTGTTCTATGTAGCTTACTCACAGAAGAAGTAAGGAGGCAGAGGATTTAATGTCTATTCATGAAAACTTCAAATATGAAATCTAGTTTTAGCATTACAACCTAACAGTTGTGTTTATAGGGTTGCTGCCTACAATGCAGAAAACTGCTTCTAATAATAGATTGAAACTAAAGTATTACATAAGAAAACCTGAGCTTGGCTGACTTTAGTGGGACTATTCCTTAGTAGTTTTAGAACTGCAGCTGCAAAAGCTATGTTTAAGCAACTAGATTGGGGCTCCCAAACTGTGGTTCAGAATCACCAGTGGTCCATGAGCTTTATTCTGGTAGTCTGTTGCATCTGGGGATTTGTGGTTCAAGGAATAGTCATATTTGTATATTACTGTATATATCTTACTTTATTGCAATTCAATCTGTAATGACAACGTATGCGAAACAAAAGCAGAAATAAAAATAAAATTAAGACTATAACACCTAGCACAGTGCATTACAACTGCTACGAGAGGCAGAAAAGTCATTAAGTGGTTAGCAGTTTCCAAGTGGTCTGTGCAGGGGCGGGGGAGGTTTGTGAAACACTGAACTAGATGATTGCATGGTGTTCTAGAAACCAGCAGATGGAGCCATTCAACCATATGTTAACCATAGCAAATCATGTAAAGGAATTAAATTTCTTGCGTAATAACCCTTTTCTATTTCTTTCTCTGGGAGCAGGCAGAATTTTGTGCAGCCATAGGAGATGCTCATTAAAACAAAGTATTGTAACATAAGCAGGGTTGTTTTTTAAAAAAAATAAAAAATAAAATAAAACAAAACGGATTAGAATAAAATAAAATAAAATGGATTAGAAGTTTTAATTTTTCCAGTCCCATAACTTGCATAGTTTAAACCACCTTGTTCATAGTTGCAGATAATAGCAGAGGGTATGGAGCTTAAAACTGAAAACAAATCTTGATTAGCTAATGAAGGTGTCGATTGAAATACTGTGGAGTAGGAGAGACCTCTGATCCAGTACTATGGTGATCACTGGGACCATTAGAAATGCAAATAACTCTTAAGTTTGTAAAAGTTTGTCAGATTAGTTTGTAAGAATTATATCAGCTATTATTTATTTGCTGGGAAAGGGGGACAGCCTCACAATTAATTTATTGCATTCTCCATGGATAAAAGCGATAAACAAATATGCCCAGGGATATAAATTTGATCAGCTTTGCAAAACTTTGGTGGTTCAGTATTAGGAAGGACAATTTAACAATTGGCATGCATTAGCTATGTGTCTGTGATAAGGTAGGATTTCCCCCCGTACATTTTACATTATTTGGTCACTTCCATGTCAATGTACATCTGAAAACACCTCGTGACATGGGTTTATCTGATAGTTCAAAACACAGAGAGAGTTGAGAATAACCAAGTGTAAGAAAGAAGTATGGCAATGAAGGCAGAAGTAAGCAACTGATCATCTAGTAAGTAAAGGAGCCAAGCAGCTCTGTTGGCAAGAGTGAACCTCAAAGAGGCTGTTTGGGATTAAGTGAGTAGGAAGCCAGGAAGCCTGTAAATAGTTTCCCTCTGCAAAGTGCTGAAGTGCATGTGAGGTACCATTAAGGCTAAAATGTTCATTTAATGCTTTCTGGTTTGTGTACAGCAGGGAGCATTGTGGAACAGGTTTAGGATCAATTCAGTCAATATCTGAATACTTTGAGGAATCCAGATTGCCTAAATCTGATCTGTGTGTTTGTAGTCCTATTCTCACAAATGATGCTTGAATTGATGGATTCTCCTAAGGCAGTAAATTGAATGAAAGAGCTTCATTCACTAGAACATACATTTTATTGAATATCTACCAGACTTAAAAACATTATTGGAGACTGGCCACACATTATAGCCACTGTAACAGAAGCTACCCAGGCTCTGATTGACACTTGAGAAAAGCTCAGAGGCATTTGGCCTGACATCACGCTGAGAAAGAAGAAGTCGCCACTGGCAGAGAGGCTTTTGTTTCTCATTATCCTGTTCAGCTAAGTTCCTCTAGCAAATTAGAAAGGAGGGATTTGCTGGGAAAGATGATGGGCTAGCAGAATCAACTTCTGTCTCAGCATGATGTTGGTAAACACCTATGAGTTTTCCTTGAGGGTCTGTAGTCTACTCTAGAGAGCATCTTAAAAATTATCAGCAGTCAGAGCCTGGTCATTTTTATCTGGTGAATATAACTCATCTCTTTTGATGATGTCTCTGTATAGATCCATTAGCTAGAATGTAAAGAGTCTTTCCACTAACTTCAACTTAATTCTTAAATCCTTTAAATATTCAGAGTGAGTAGCTCTCTGCAAACTCAAGGAGTCTTGATTCAGCTATTTATCATTGTGGTATGAGTCCTTACAGAATCAAAAGCAGGACTGCTATCTCTGATGTGTGAAGTTCACTGTTTTATAGGGAAGCATAGTGACCCTGAATACCTAAATTGTCATTAAATCCCCCATATGTATAAGTGGGGATATTATTACTGAAGTTTCTTCGGATAACAATATCCGAGTATCAATTACATTATAAAGCTGTCCAATAATAAAACACTCAGCTCTCAAGTTTTTCAGTGGGCATGCCTTCAGACAGGAATTTAATAGCACTTAAAGTGGAAACGTCCCACTTATTTATTTCTTGTTAATTAATGCAATTGCTGCAAAGGGTCAACTTTTCCTCCCACTTGACTTAATACATTTCGACTGATGAGCTGTGTAATTAAATAGACTCTTTCTGTCACATAGCCACCAATACTGTGTGTGTACACATATACATTTAATGCCACAGATAAGAAAATACTGTCAAGTCACAGCAATATTTAAAGGAAGCTAAGCCTTATAAGCATACTTATAAGGAAGTGAATGTTATTCATTTCAGTTGGATATTTTTCCAAGAAAGTGGCACTTCACACATCTAGGCTAGGCTCTTAACATTATCCCAGCAGCAGTACTGCTTGTATCTGTGTCACCAGGTAAGAAGCAGTCAGTCTGGGAGGAGCCACCTTTGAGGCTCTTCTTTGTACCAGAGTTAATCCAGTTTCCTAAAGGTTGATACTGGAGTGGGAGGAGCCACAGGGTAAATCTCCTTCCCTGCAGCTCAATGGTTCTCATGTGATCCTGGCAGTATGGGAGAAAGCAGTTTCATAGTGCTTTCCATCCCACAAGGGTAATATGAGTCCCAGGCCTACATTTGTGACACAGATTGATTATATATCCACTTCCCAATTCATGCATGCATAGCAGAACAAGACACTTGCAAAATAAGACATTTGGACATCAAAGTCCATGTGCTGAAACTCTGACGTTCCCTTAAATAAGGTATGAGGAACCTGTGATCCATCAGATGCTGCTGGACATTGCCGCCATCTTCCTTGTCCATGGGTCATGCTGGCTGGGGCTGAAGGGAGTCTCAGCAATTTCTGGAGGGCCCCAGGTTCCCCATCCCTGCCTTACATAATAAGACTGCCGTTCTAAGAAGCAGAGCATGCATCTGGTGAAGCAACCATAAGTGAGCTTGGAATTACAGTTCAAGAGTTAAGAAAGCAATATTCTGCATCTGTAAAACCTGCCAAAATATTGCTTTAATTCTTTCTCATTCTTGCCTGCAATTTAAGATCTTGTAATAGCATTGCTATTCGATTATTCGGTGTATTGTAGCCAATAGGATTTTTGAGTCAAATAAACAACATTCTTGGGAAGGTGTAGCTATACACCTATGTCTGTTTACGCTGGTTTTATACCAATTTAATTGTCATTGCACACTGCCCCAGCCTACCCACAGAGCCACTTACAAGTATGGGTGTAAGCACAAGCAGATCTCACCAAGAAAAACTGAATGAATGAAACTCATGGCTACAAATTTCTAGAACTTCTGTCAAGGTTTAGTAATGCTTGACATGGTTAATATTTTGCATGGTGCGATATATCCTCACAATGTATCTAGTATATTTGATAAGGCTTTACTAGGATTTGATATTTCCTACTGGCAGATCTTTTAATTCTAATACTTAGTTCTGTTATTTTTAATGCTTATATATTTATTGTGTTCTCCCTTGAACCTCTGAACAGTAGCATCTAAATGTTTTAAAATATATACCGGTAAATTTATGCTGCAATATGTATAATCTAGAGTAGCCCTGTTTAAAATCTTGCTTCTGGGTATGAGTTGTAGGTTGTAGGTCTCTTAGTCATTCATACTAGCTTTGTATCCATATTGACCTGTGAATGTAAAGCTCAGAAAAACCACATGGTCCAGTCTTCCTAGGGTGAACCAGTTCAAAATGCAAGTGGATGGTATTAGGTTTGAACATTTTCCTCTTCTAAGATAAATCTCATTTCTCATGGAAAGCTAGTATATCTACATTGGAGATTTCTCTCTCTGACATTCTACTTTTTAGTGTATTGCGCTGAAAGCATCTTATACAGAGAGCTTTCATGCATGCTATCCCCCCCTGTGTTCACTGAAGTAGTACAGTTCCTAGGACTCTGCTTTGTAGAACAGCTCTTACATTATAAACCAGATGAACAGCTGTTGCTTTTCCTTAGGCAGCTAGTGCTTCAGTGATAATTTTAGTAAATACCTTAAATAAAACCTGTTTACCTTTATTCACAGAACTAATCCTTTTGTACCTGTAAACAACAGTTACAAAATCATAGCTATCTTAATTTCCAATATACTGTAATTAACATGTTGAACAAAACTACAGGCTGTCCATATTTTTTTTTAAGGAAGCATTACTTACCTTGGCTTTTCACACCGAAAGGTAGGAAAGCAGGCCCTTTCATTGATTCACTAGGCTGCACCTTAAAGCGTTCAGGATAATAGACAGTGCTGTAGACAATGTTCACAGAAAGCAGCAGCAGCAGAAAAGATATTTGTAACTTCATATTCCCAAATCCGCTCTGTATTGAAGAAAAATGTACAATATAATTTTTATAACAGAAAACTGAGCTGTAATAAAAACATACCCACAGCATTCTGCTTCAACACTTTTCCAGGCTTGTGGATTCAATGATACACATGTGTTAAAATGACATCATTTAGTTTAAAAAGTTGAATCAGAAGCCATTCTGGGTGTCAGATCTGGTCACATCTTATTGCATTATCAGCCTTCCCTACAGCATGTGGTGTGATCTATAAAAGTGTTTGTGTGTGTGTGAAAATAACATAGCTTCTAGGTACTGAAATATTACATGCCTACAAGCCTTTTAAAATTCCCAGAAGAAGAAACTAGGTCTTCCTGTTTCAGGAGCTGTAGCCATCAGAAGCTTATGCATATGCAACAAGCAAGCCTTCTGCAGTAACTGTAACCAGAATACCCTCAAGTGCCATTAATGAGCACATCTAAACCTCTGTCCCACTTAAATGTATTTGTAAACCAAGCCAGATGGAATTGCAGCATACCGGCATGTTGTAGGATTACAAATGTGCAGTAAAGCAGACTTCAGTCTTGCCTCATGTGTCCTGCTGCCACAGGTGTGCAGAGCAGAAGCTGCTGTTCCAAGCATCATCCTGACTTATTTATACTGTTTGTGCCTTCTGACATGAAGTTGCACTCTGTTGTAGCCCCGCCTTCAAACCAGGAAAGTGCTAATTATGGTGGAAAGTTTTCTTGGCCAGGGATGTTGTGTCAGGTTGAATTTTTTTTATTAATATTATTTTAGATGCCATTCCCTGTTCATGAATTTACTTTTATTGTACTGGGACTCAGACAGGTCATCTTGTAAGAAAATACATGAGTTGAAATAGAAAAGGGTAAACTTTTATTTTTCCTATTGAGATTTTCAAATAAATGGGTAAGCCATTCTAAGACTAGATTTCTTCACTTGGCTATTTTGGCAAGCTGTCGAGTTGCAGCTCGGCATCCAAAGAAAAATCAGTCTCACACATGAGGGCTTCACTAAATGTGCAAGGGTCGCAGAATGTATGTTCTCTCTGTACATAGGCTTACTCCACAAGTTAGGGATGAGCCAGAACTGCTCAAAGTTTCTCTAATTGCTTTCCCTGCTTGCAAAAATCCATGTACTGCTTTTGGAAAAAAGCACCCTCAAATTTAGACTCTTTGAAAGAGAGAGTAAAAGAAAAAGAAAAGTGAACATTGCAAATAATTAGCGAAGTACTAAGCTAACTGCAGAGGACTGCATTCAATGTAGCACTTAGTCTCTAATTCCATCAGCACAGGGTTTATTTATTGTAGAACAGAATATTCTCCTCCTCTGCTTCCTCCGCACGTTCCCTGAAAGAGTTCTGGGATTCTACCCCCCTCCAACCCCCAGGAGTAGATTTGGGGATGACACATGGTGTTAGAGTGGGGAAGAGATGGGGGAAGTCCCGTTGTGCTAACAGTAATCCTTGTACTAGCACTTTTATTTTGTTTAATACCACTCAGAATCTCCTGCCAGATGATTCACTGTCTTGAGGATCTCAGCTTTAAGTTGAATGGAGCCAGTTTCTATCTTACCCGGCTGCAAAAAAAAATATTTTAAAAATGCTTCCATCCCTCCCCTTCTCCTGTGCCTACCTCTGTTTCCTCCATCAGCTTTTGGTTGCAGAAACAACAGCAACAACTATTCTAAATCATGGAAGCCGGGTAAACCTAATGTTTATGTGTGCAACTGCACATAATTGATAGAACATTTCTTTTGAGCATCAGAACTCTGATGTGTTCTGCTTGGAAGCACTGACACCTTCCATTTCAATGGAGGAAGTAGTTTCATGTATGTGTTCCATTCCAGGTATGGATTTCCTTTACTGGATGGAACATGTTGTGTGCCAGGAGTTCCATGTACACATTTAAGTGCCCCTATGAACTTGAAATATGACCTTATTTTAGTTAATGTTCTTTCAGCACACACACAACCTTGTGCTACATGTTTTGGGGGTATGGATGATCCTATATCTTTGCAGTGGGCCTGCATTAGTAGTTCTGGTTCTCTGTAGTTTATTATGAACATTCTTACCCATTCTGAATCAGAGATTTGGTTCCCCACTAAATAGTCTGGATACTATTATTGCTACAGGTGATCTTTTCCCCTTGGTGCACCTGGTATGCACTAGCTGCCACTTTTGCAAAAAAGTTTACACGTGTGAGCTCAAACTGTGATTTCAGCCCACCAAATATGTGGTTACAGATGTGCAATTGGGGCTACATGCAATGGTGTCTCTGTAGATAGGCCCATGTGCAAACATGACACTTGGTGGATGGCAGGATGGTAGGGGGTCTGTGCTAACTGCAGCATTCACAGTCTGCCATTCATCTGTTACTTGGCATTGGTGTAATTGCAGCTACTGTAGTTACTGGCATGAAGGGTCAGTATGGCAACAAACTGTATCCTAGATCTGCTACTTGTTGCCTATTTACATTACAAAGAAACTGAAATGTTTGGGCTGTTAGTGCCAGTAGAGTCGTACCTTGGTTCTCGAACGCTTTGTGACTCGAATGTTTTAGCTCCCGAATGCCGTAAACCCAGAAGTGAGTGTTCCGGTTTCTGAACGTTTTTTGGAAGCCGAACATCCAACGCGAGGTACGCAGCTTCCGATTGATCAGAAGCCACTCCTTGGTTTTCGGATGTTTTCGGAAGTCAAATGGACTTCCAGAACGGATTCCGTTCAAGAACCAAAGTACGACTGTAAATTGAAGAGACAAATAATTGGTATTGTACGTTTGTATTTTTGCTTCTTAGTTTCAATAGTGTTTTTTTTATAGCTTACTCCTAGCAAAAAGATTGACTAGCCTCTGTGTGGTCACATATGTTTGATGAAGGAGGGAGAAAGTACACAAAACTATGTTGACCATTATCCCACTCCTTTCCTTGGCATGAGTCTTGGTGTCTGACATAAATATATTTCTATTGTAGGCTTGCATATGAATTGTGGGATTATTTGTATGCCTTCACTGCTATTTGTAGTAACACCTGACTTTCAAAAATGCACCTGTTTTTCTTATTTGATTACCTGACCAAAGTCTTGTACTTGTAAATAAAGCTTAACCCCAGCTAGACTTAGCAAGTGAGACAATATCCCACTTTTAGCTCCTCTTTCAGTTCATTATTGACAAGGTTAGCATGATGAGTGCGTGCTAGGCAGGGAGAAACACACTGTATTATATGTCAGGGTTTGGGTTTTTTAAATTCTGTCTGTTCATGCAGTGAAGACTGGAGTGCACCGTAAATTGTGTGACTGGGGAATAAATAGCCAAAAACTTGTAGGCAAAATCCCACAGTACAGAGCAAGGCAATATTGGCACCCTTACACAATCTAAAGGGAAGAAGATTTCTTTTTGAGCTCAAATATGGGAATCGCTCACACTCAGCCAACTCATTCAACATCAAAAAAAATCCAGCCACCAGGCCTCTGATCAAATTTATTGGACCAGAAGCAGGGCCTCTTCTGTAGCAGTGCCAGCTTTGTAGTATCTCCATCCAAAGCAGGCATGATGGGCCCAGTTCTACTCAGCCTTTCAAGAGCTTGGTAAAAATGTTCAGCTCACATTTTAGGTCAGCTGATCCAGTTAACAGAAAGTTGATGCTGTATTTATAACTTTCTCTATTCCCTTCTTCTTTAATTGATCTGCTTTTACATTTGATTTATGCATTGCATTTTTATGATCATGAGTCATTTTGGAGGGTATGTTTTGAGGATAGGATTGAATATTCAAGTACAACAAAAAAATCCTACACCCTGAGCCTTGTGTCCTAGCAGCAAATTGTAGTGACTGCTGGAAGGGGCTCTGTAGTCCAGAGGGTTGTGGCCACGCATGGCCCACAGAGGTAAACAGTGGTGGCCTGTTCCAGACATATTTCATTGAGAAGCAACGGGTTAGCAAAGGTGTTGGGTAGAGAGCAGGCAAGGCTATGATTTGAGCAGCCACAAGATAGCAGTGAGAAGGAGGCTCCAAGTGCAAGAGGTCCAGGACTTAGTGCTGCAGGTAAAGACAGTAAAAGAACTATTTTGCTTTTAGTTTTACAAATTTCATACCTTCTGGGAACTTCTGCATATTTGCTTGCCTTCTGAAGAATCTATGGCTATCTGCCATACGGAATGCCTGCATATTGCACAGGATTGTGGGGGCTATTCTGGGACAGAAATCATGGGTATCACTGACTGGACCAAGCAGACCACCCACAAAACACAGAACGTTATTCCCCCCCTCACACACACACACATGAAAAGTGTGTTGGTTCCCCTTGCAGGTAAAGCACTAGCTATCCTTCTGAAATTTCACAGGTTTGGTGCCATCAGAAGGGTCAACCTTTCTGCCAATTTCATCTAATTAACACCCCCCCAAAAAAAATGTTATAGGCCTTTCTAGTAAATAGCAATCAAACTTTAAGGCTTCCCAGCACCAAAGCCCCTGGATCTATTTGCCTGCAACTTGACAGCCTTTATTCTCCCTAGAAGGGCTAGCATGCCTGCAAATTTCATCTACTTCTGTCAAAAGGGGTGGGAGTTACAGCCATTAAAAATAATAATAATAACACTGAATGGAAGGGGGGGAACAAAGGAGACTTGGATAGACTGTGAGCCAAATTGTGCAGTCTACAGACCTCCTTGGACCAATGTGGACTGTTTTCCAAAGCACCAGATTAGAGTCTGAACTGAAGTTTGTGATTTGCGCGCAGCTCTAATACCTAGTCTTATACCCTGAGGAGATCTTCACCCCTACCTTCCCACTTCAAATTAGCAACTACCGGTAAATGATCTTAGACTGTCAGTATCCTCTGTGTATGCATATATAAAACTAAAGTATAAATACTTCCCCACAGACACTAAAGTTTGCAAAGTGGTTCATGGTTCAAATTGCTAGAAAGCTTATAAAAATACCCATTACCTTAAGTGTAAGTAGCAAAAATTGATAGATGTTGGTTATATGAATTTATTGACATATAATATAAAATACTTG